AAAGCTCAATGGGTTAGTGAGTCTGGTGGATGATCCCCAAAGGAAGAGGAAGAAAAGGGTTAGAAATTAAAACATCCATAATAGTCTGGTGAATAAACTCCAAATTGTTTTTGAAAGTGAAGAAATTAGACATGGTCAAATATATTGATTTCTCTATTCACTTTTGGACAAGACCACCACAATATAAACAAATCTTAAATGCTTAGGAGATATATGGTTTTTAATTTCATTCACAAGATGCTTGATTAGGGTTCTTTGCCCTGCTGCTTGAAGACGCATTATTCAAAATCCACGTGTCTATTTGCGTCTTCAAGCAGCAACTAAATTTGATAAAACATTTAAGGCCAGGAAAATAAATTAGATGAAACGAACTTGAAAAATACAACCTTGAAGAGCTAATAAATTAATAGGAACTCAAATATACATAATTGAAGAGTTTCTCTTTTTGAGCTCTGAGAGTTCAAAAGCTCATAATATAATAAAGAATACACATACATATTTGTACACACACCTACACACAAACATGAGAATATGCTATGCTACAATAGAGAATAATCATATTTTTACAATTATTATAATAAACAATATGTACGTGTATGCTATTAATTTTTATATAATCATAAAGATTCAGATTATGGTTTGATAGATAGCATGAAACATTTTGCCCCGCTAAATTTATCCAGCCAAAAACTCTAAATATAAAGAGGCATGAGATTAAAACCCTCAAGTCTAAGTAAAAGAGGATCGAAATTACTCAGGCACTAAGATTGAAATCTTAGAAATGAAATAGAGAAAGGAATACCTTAAGACCGTCTTCGATGAGGTGGGATTTGCGGGAGAGAGAGAGAAAGAGATGCTTCTTGGAAGAAAATGAGGGAGAAAAAGCAAGGAAGGAGAGGCAATCGGGAGGGATGAATGAATCCCAGAGGGCGTCAGAGACAATGGTAGAGAGAAAGGAAGAAGAAACACAGGAGAGCCTGCAGGGGTCGCGGGGGGTGTGAAGGAAAGGATGTGGACGATGCAAGCTTCGGGGAGATGATCCATGAGTTGCTGAATTTTTTATGGAAGTATAATTAATGCTGTGTTCAGCGTTGGGGCGGAGAGGGCTACTTATGCCACGAAAGCTTCGTGCTTAACACTATGTTTAGTATGGGGTTTTCAGCAGGGAGGGGAGGAAAGTTGCTCCCTCCCCTTGTTTGGCTAATACAATTTTTCAGGAAAGAGAGGGGAGTTTCTCCCCTCGCCTTACTTGGTTAAGATACTTTTTAAAGAGGAAAGAGGCTCTCCTCTTCTCTCTTTCCTTCTAGTCTCCCCTCCAGAAGTGGGGTTTTTTGGAGGAGAGGTGAGAAATAAAATTTTATATTTCAAGATTAGCCTAAATAAAATACTTTAATTCCTCATATATCCTTTTGATTTGTTAACCCCTAATTAGTCGTAAACATTTCTATATAAAAGAGTTCTTTTGAACATCTACCAAGAGGTTGTCAAGATAGTTGTCTCCAAAATTAGTGAGCATTGTTTAACCCTTTTTTTTTCTCTTCTTCTAATTCCAAGAGGCTGTCGGTATTTTCTTTCACCTTCAAGTCTTTTTTCTAATTGAAATCTATCACTCACGACTTTTCATCTTAATATCCTATAGGCGTATGACTGTGTCTTGTAAGTCAAAATTAGTGAATTGCATTATATATATAGTTATATCTTAACAAAATTTTTTAAAAAATGAGAAAATTCATTTAAATTTTATGAGGTTAAAATAGTCAATTTTTTATAAGAACAAAATAAGGTATCATTAAAATTCCTCCATTCCCTCCCCTTCAATAAATCCAAATAGGAGATTATTAAAATCTCTTCCCTCCCTTCCCCCTTCCACCCCTCTTTTTTGTAACTACCCTCCCCTTTCCTCCCCTCCCCTTCTCTTTGTCGAGCCAAACACTGTAAGTCGTAAATGCACTCTTTCACCAGCCCTTAAGCCTTCTCTATTTTTTTAAAATTATTTACCACTCTTGTCTTAACCAAGAATCAAGACATGTTCTTAAGGGGTGATAGAGTACACACAATTTAGAATATGCATGAACACGCATTAGGCTCAAATAATAAGCATGTATTTGGGCTTGAGCCTAAGAATGCGCTCAACTTTTGTACGCCTAACCTTTCATGTGCCTCGCGTGATTATAGGAATTTCCACTCCCTTCTTATTTTATCTTTTTAGATTTCAATGTCCCTTTTTTATTGGTTTCCCAAAGCTGCTTGTCCTTTTGTTTTGTCAATCCTACCATGCCTTGAATAGTATGGTATTAGGGGTAAGTCACTTGCAAGGTGAATTTTTGGTCTTAAATGTGAGTTACTTGTAGCATATTTAATTTTTATTGGAAAGAGAGAAAGAAGGGAGGGCTATGAGAATGATTTATAAATTTAGAGAGAGAGAAAAACTATAAGGAGCATAAAATTGAAAACATCTCCACATTAAGCACTCTCAATTTGGGGATATTAACAATTAGATTATGGTGATATAAAAAAAGGAAGAGGAAGAGGATGAAGAAAGGAGAGGAAGTGAGGAAGAGGACGAAGGGAGGGGGAAGATGAGGAAGGGAGGAAGAAAGGAAGAGAAGGCGAGTAAGAGAGAGAAATTGGGGAGAGAAAATATCGTATTCTTAATTGAATTGAAATCCAAGTCATCTTTACAAAGGAAATCCTAGTACTATTTATATAGAAATCCAATCCAATAATGACTAAAATCATAATGTAATACTACCTCTATTACTACATGATATAAAAACAAGATAACTAATTTGTAAATATTAAAAAAGTTAGTTAAATTTATTATTTGTAATAAATAAGTGTGGTCTTCTCTAAAATGTCTTTGTTAATGTACATTGGAATGGAAATATTTTGACAAGTGTAATCACTGTGGGGACTATTTTGAGAAAAAATATAAGAGATAAATATATTGAAATTTTATATTAAGATCAAATTAAATTTCTATCTAGCTCTGATATTTATTATCAGTAATTCTAGCATCAAAATAATATAATAATAATCAAATATAATCCCCAAAAATCTTCATTACTTTCGGCCATATGTTCCCCATAATGGTCGGTGTTGAGATAAATTCCTTTGTTTATTTTTTTCAAAAATAAATTCGTGACTGCCGCCTCAACACCGCTAGATCACAATCTAGTTATCGACATAATTCACCATAATTTTTTTCGTTAAAAAAAAAGCACCATGAAATTCACAATAATTCCCCATCTCACAGTGGAAATGAATGCCTTTTGCCCTTGCCAATACTACTCAATCAATGAATTTCTTCTCGTCGTGCATCGTTTCAATTTTATAGAATGTCCGCTAAGGGACATTTTCTTCTCAATCTGCAAAATGAATATTATGATAGATTTTTCTGATAGCATAATATATATTTTTTTCATGTATAAGAAAATAGATTTCGTTTTGTTAAACACAGGTATCTTCCTACTAGAAATCATCCTATTTGAGGTATAAAAGTGTGTTTTAGGTATACCGGAAACACTCAACCAAGAGATACAATAATCTTTCTGTTTTTTCCCCCGAAGAGATAGAATGATCTCATATGTAATGGGTGGAGTGACATAGCAAAAGGAGTCTATTTTTCGAATTTTTTTAAGGTGCTCATTGCTTAAAGTTAGCTTTTTAACAAGTCAAAAAGCTTCTCAAACTTATCTCTTATAATATGGTCTGAATTGGATACCTTGTCCCATGAGTAGATGTGTCCCAGATGCTATGATAATATTAAAAAAACTATAATTTTTTAATTTAGTGTTGCTGATGATAAGCATGCCATTGCCATCAACTTTCAACAAACAAGGGCCAAAACCTCTGTCATTAAACAAAAACTGTTCATTCCAGTTACAACGGCTTCGAACCTTCAGGGCCCAGATCATATTATACCCATTGTACCCAACGGCAAAGGGTCTCTAATGCGTCTTTTAATGCTCCAAGCTTCCAAATTCTTTTTCTTGTGATATGTATGTGCGCGAAGCAGCATTTGGAGCAACATTGTTTCAAGTTGTCTTGTTTACAGGCAAAGCTCAATGGGTTAGTGAGTCTGGTGAATGATCCACCAAAGAAGAGGAAGAAAAGGGTTGGAAATTAAAACATCCATAATAGTCTGGTGAATAATCTCCAAATTGTTTTCCAAAGTGAAGAAACATGGTAGAACATATTGATTTCTCTGTCTATTTTTGGACAAGAACACCACAATATAAACAAATCTTAAATGATTAGGGGACATGGTTTTTTATTTCATTCACAAGCTGCTTAATTAAGGTTCTTTACCCGAGTTCAAGTGTCTATTTGCATCATATATGTATATATGAATATAAATTTGATAAAACATTAAGGCCGGCAAAATAGATTAGATGAAACAAACTTGAAAAATACAACCTTGAAGAGCTAATTAATTGGAGCTCAAATGTGCATAATTTAAGAGTTTCTCTTTTTTCGCTCCGAGAGCTCAAAACCTCATAACATAATAAAGAACACACACACACACACACACACACACATCTCCACACAAACTTGAGAATATGTTATGCTACAATAGAGAATAATTATATTTTTACAATTATTTTAATAAGCAATATGTACGTGTATGCTATTAATTGTTTTGTATAGCTATATAGATTCGGATTATGGTTTGATAAATAGCATCCACCACATATAATCTTTTTACGATCCTCTCGTCGCACGAGCTGGTACATGCATATGAATAAAGAATGATCTACCTTAACATTCTTTGCTGTGATTACTGATTAGTGCCGCCTTGGCCTTTGTAATTTGCACAAAACTATTTATTTTTTATTTTGAGAGAAAAAGGCCATAGTATTATCCAACTCGATTAACACACATTATGCAAAGAGATTCGGCAGAGAAGGAAATGAAACCCTTTATTCTATATAACAGCAACCACTGACCTAATATCGAGAGAAAAAAGATCACAGACTCGCAGCGTAGAGGTTCACCATTCAGTTATTGAGTTTGGGCCTAATTTCTAATCCTTCAATGACAAGGTTCCTCTTCCAGTGGCCAGCGTTGATCTCACAGACAGCCATTTCCAGCTCCCTGTCATCTATTCCTTCGTTGAAGAAGTCTCCCAATTCAATCTCCAACCACCCATCTGCTCTCTCGTTTGGATATTGTCCATTAAGCTTCTCGCCCTGTGCTTCTTGTGGATCCAAAAAGACGATTTGCCTCTGAGCATCATTATCATTCCCGGCGATCCCCACGGAGACCTCCACCGGCTTGTTTTTGAACCCTTTGGCGTTGGCAGTTAACTTAAACACGAGGTAAGCCGTGTACAGAGTTGAAGGAGACAGCATGCGCGTGTTGATGCGCCCTCGAATTTCCAGCCAACACACATCAAGAAGCTCAGCAACCTCCTGAAACCTGCAAGGTACGTAGCAGTTCCACAGGTCACGTCACGAAAACGGCAAAGTAGCGTTTCTATTATGGACTCACCTGCTCTCCGGCAGCGAAGGCCGCCCCCAGTACTCCGGAGTCTCTCCCCATGTAATCGAGAGACTTCTCGAGGATAGCATGAAACATTCCGCCTTGCTAAATTTATCCAGCCAAAAGCTCTGAATATACATAAAGAGGCATGAGATTGAAACCCTTATGTCTAAATAAAAGAGCATCGAAATTACCAAGGCATTAAGATTGGAAGAGGTAAACAAAATTGAGAAGATACGAGGAGAAAGAAGGGGAAGGAATACCTTAAGACCGTTGTCGATGAGTTGGGGCTGGTGAGAGAGAAAGAAATGCTTCTTGGAAGAAAAGGGGGGAGGAGGAGAAGGGGAGGAGAGGCAATCGGGAGGGATGACGGAAGCCCAGAGGGCGTCGGAGACGGCGGCGGAAAGAGCGAGAAACACAGGAGAGCCTACATGTGTCGCGGGGGGATGTGAAGGAAAGGATGTGGGCGATGCAAGCTTCAGGGAGATCATCCATGAGGGTCTGAATTTTGTACGGAGGCATAGTTAGCGCTATGTTCGACTTCGCAGTAGAGAGGGCAGCTTATATGTCCAGGATGCTTCGCCCTTAAGTCTTAAGTGCGATCTTTCGTCAGCCCTTAAGCCTTCTCTATTATTTTTTAATTATTATTATTTATCACTCGGGTCTCACACTCAACCAAGAACCGAGTGTTGCTAGAGTTAAGGGAGTAGACACAATTTAGAATATGCATAAACATGTGTTAGGCTCAAGTAATAAACATGCATTTGGGTCCGAGCTTGAGAATGTAGACAAATTTGTGAAATTAGTTTCGGTACTCATGACAATGATAAGCACTAGATACTCAACGACTGTGAAATTTGCACCATTCAGATACAATTTTAAGTGTCTAAATTTAAAATTTTTAACTAATAATGTTTAAATAAAAATAGTTTTTAAAAAAATTTACCATTAAAAGATTACATCTATTTTAGTTTATCTACCTATTAAATAAAAATATTTTTAAAAAATAAAATTATAAAAATTAAATCTAAGTCATTTATATTAAATTTGAACAGTTAAAATTTGCAAAACTGATCCAACTGTTGTACGCCCAACCGGACAACTACGGTTGATTTTTTATGTGCCCCGCGTGATTATAGGAATAGGAATCACCACTCCCTTCTTATTTTATCTTTTTAGATTTCAGTGTCCCTTCTTGAGTGGTTTCCCAAAACTGCGTGTCCTTTTGTTTTGCCAATCCTACTATGCCTTGATTTAAAGGGGAACTCAATTCATTGATGATGAATACTAGGGGTGCACGTGGGCAGGACTGGGCAGGGCTCGACCCCTGCCCGATGCCCAGCCCGAACTATGTGAGGGTCGCAAAATGCAACCTGGTGCCCAGCCCTGCCCGTAGAAGCCCTAACCATTTTAGGGCGGGGCAGGGCGGGCTTCATTGCCCAAAAACCGATGTCCTGCTCAAATCATTAAAAAAAAAAAAACAACTCCATCCATATCTGAAAATCACATTACATAATTCTACATTTTAACACACCAAAAATCATTCAGAAATAGTCCAAAATAAGTCTTAACAAATATCCAATTGAATAACATCAATAATCCATTCAAAACAAGATTCAATATTGTAATTGGAGCCTAGAAAATTGAACAGTTTGCACTTTGCATCAATCTCCATAATTTCCCAAAAAGGATGGAACACCTGAAAAAAATACAAATAAAAATAACAAAGTTTAATATATTACAAAGTAAACAATAAAAAAAATATACTTCTAGATTTTAAAGGAAGCACCGATTCACCTTGCCAGCTTAACTAGTCATGTTTATAAAATGACCCTTCAATTACCAATAGCCATTAAATTCTCCCCTCCAGCTCCAGGTGTAGCAGAATCTAGGACAAAAAATCAAAGAACAATGACATTACAAATTATGAAGTAAAATATGAGTTATTGAGATTTGGGGGCAAAAATGATTACTAGCAAGTTGAAGGACATGTTCTGTCTCATCAAAATTATCAAACTCCCGAAGCTTGTCAACAAATTCAGACATTGACAGCCCAGGTTGTAGCCAATTTTGGCTACAAATTAGTGCTTCTGTCATCTTAGAAATAAAGAGCTTCTATAATGATCAACCACACGTCCTCCGGTGCTAAAGGTAGACTCAGAAGCCACTGTAGAAACTAGCATAGCCAATACATCTCGTGCCATGTGTGAGAGAATTCTATATTTTTCTGAATTAGCTTTCCACCATAACAATATGTCAAACTCAGCTGCAGAAGGGATTTCATCTCTCGAGTCAGTTGTTATATATCTATCTAACTCAGTTTGAGGATCTGTTGAGGCTTTTTGTTTCATAGATTCTAACCACTTATGACCTGGATCCTCTTCACCATCATCATCATCATCATCAAAAGAAGGCAATGATGTTGCACCTGCTGTGCTTGTGGAGGTAGTCCCTGAGTCAATAGAAACCCCAGCAGAGTACTCATTAAACAACCGATACAAACAATCTTTAATCCTCTCCTTCATAATCAAGCATACTTCAGGATCAGCATAAAGAAGATCAAACATATGATTCACATATGCTAGTTTATACCGAGGGTCCAAAATGACAGCCACAAAAAGCAATGGATTCATATTGTCTGCTTGACCCCAATACTTGTCATACCTCACCTGCATGCTAGTGCTCATTTCTCTCAAGAAGCTATTAGCATTATTTGTGATATTTCTTTGCAGCATTTTCTGAACCCGAGCAATCTGGTGGAAACATTCATTTGCCAATACAGAAAGGGAGCTTGAAAATTTCAATGTTATGTCATGGAAGACCTTCAAGAATTTGATGAAAATCCAAGCATTATTCCAATCATCAGTAACAGGACCAAAAAAGCTATCTTGCTCACGCCTAGCAGAACTAGAAGCCCCACGCTCACGCCTAGAGTTTGAAGTGCTTGAGCTGAAATACGAAATATAGTCATCATCTTCATCACGCATTCGCTCAAACACTTTTTGAAACTTCATTGCAGCTTCTAACATTAAGTATGTTGAATTCCATTGAGTGGATACATCAAGGCAAACAAGACTTTTAGTGTCTATTTTTTCAGCTTTAGCCCAAGATTTGAATCTTAGGAAGCGTGAAGGAGAAGAACGAACATATCTCACAGCATTTCGAATGGCTTCAAAGCTGTCTTTCATTTCTTTAATACCTTCATTGACCACTAAATTTAAGACATGTGCACAACATCTTAATTGTAGATAATCACCATCACAAAGTAAGCCCTTCCAACTCCTCAAACGTCTCTTAAGATATCCCAAAGCTTCCATTCATCATCAACAAAATGTGCTGTCAAGCATAGGTAATTGAAATTCTGATTTGATGTCCAGCAATCTGTGGTGAGACAAACACGTTTAGTACTCTGTTTCAAAAATTTCTTCAATACTTTAACTTCTCCAAGATATAATTGCCACACATCTCTTCCAATTGTTGTTCTTGATGGGATTGAAAAGCGAGGTTCAAACTCAGTCAACAATTTCTTAAATGCAGGCTTCTCCACAATTCTAAATGGTTGCTCATCACAGATAATAAATTCAGCTAAAGCTCTTCTACATCGCTTCTCATCATATACATGTGTAACTAAAGATCTTCCTTGGCCACTAGTCTTGCCCGACAAAAGAGTTAACATAGATTGCTTTTTATCTGTAGTGGCTTTATGAGGGTTCTTTGAACATTTTGGGATATGCCTTAATAAAGAATTTGTCCCATGACGGTTTGGATAAGCTTTATAAGTAGTATGACAATACTTGCAAGCTGCTAAGTGAACTCCATTAGTTTCTTCTATTGGCAATCTAACAAAATATTCCCAAACCTCTGATGTGTGCTTAGTTTCTCTTGCCTTTCTCTTTGTACCCCTTTCATCAATACTTGTTTCTGGTGTGACAGAATTTGTTTGTGGGGGAGTAGGGGTAGGAGAAGGAGCAAGGGGAGGGAGGACAGGATGAGATGGAGGTTGAACAGGAACAATAGGGCTAGGGGCAGTCACTTCATTAGGTCTATTAGGATTTGGTGTTTGATTAGGTCCAATAGAGATTGGTGTTTGAAGAGGGGCTGAAGCAGCTTGAGACCTTCCACCAACAACCGGGGATGGTGATGTAATAGAAGTTTCATCATCCATTGCAGCTGCAATATCATATAATTGAACAAATTATTTTTTAAAAATATATCACTACACAAATAGCAAGAAATTTTAAATGAATAGGAGCAGAATCAAATAGCAGAAATTTCAAATGAATCAAAGTAGAATCAAATAGCATTATATCATACAAACACAAGTGGAGACTGAAGAAATATTGTGAGAAATGAATCATGGCAAGAAATTTGAATTGATACAATAATATTGATATAAAGTACAACTCACGATATACCATTTGATTTAATTGATTCATTTAAAATGATTCCGCTATTCCAAATACTAAAACGAATTATTAAAAAAAAAATCGAGCAATGCTTGGAAACTAAAACGAACATGGCAGTAATTACAGATGACTTTGCTATCCCAACTCTGCCACTCATTTCACGGTAGAAGCACTGAAGCAGAACCATTTCTCTATTATCTCAAATTCTTGCAAACTAAAACAAACATGGCATTACATGAATTATTTTTTTTGAATAGACACGGCAGGCATGAGCTTGTAGATACAATTACAAAACACAGCATTAGATGTTGAATTTGAATATCTCATGCACCTCCATAGAAACAGCATTATATGAATTGTGAAACAGAAAATCAGAAATAATCCAAGCAGAATCAAATGGCACAATCAGGCGACTGAATCAAACCAGAATCAAATACAATCATATGTTACAGAGACATGCGTGGAGACTGGAGAAAGGAATCCGTGCTGTCGCAACTCACCGAGTGGAGATTGGAGCCGTGGAGCAACGAG